TTGTTTGTTCGGATGGGGGTTATCGTTGGGGTGGTGTGTGTGTGGGTACGATTGTTTGTCGATGGGGTTATCGTTGGGGTGTGTGTGTGTGGGTACGATTGTTTGTCGATGGGGTTATCGTTGGGGTGTGTGTGGGGGGGAACGATTGTTTGTCGATGGGGTTATCGTTGGGGTGTGTGTGGTGGGGGGAACGATTGTTTGTCGATGGGGTTATCGTTGGGTGGCGCAGATGGCCGACTACTGCCAGCGGGAACGGATGATGTCAAAGGCCTTGACGAGCTCATCGTAGGGCGGAATGACACTGGCGGACGACGGAGTGGTGCAGACGTAGACGGTGGGCGGAGAGGCGACCATGTTGCGGAAGACAGCGTGGAGTTGGTCGCGGGTGACGGCGTCGATGCGCTGGTAGAGGACATCGGGCGTCTTGTACTCGCCGGAGAGGAGGACCTGGCGGCCCATGTCTTCGACGAGGACAGCCCTGCGCTCGAGGTTCATGGCGACCATGGACTTGAGCATGTTGCGGGCGCGAGAGACGGCAACCTCAGACGGTGGCTCCTGGCCGATGGCCATGATCTCGTGGACAAGGGCGAGGACGACGTCGCCGACCGACTCATGGCCGGCCGAGGCGTGGATGGAGAACATGCCAGCGTCGGCAAAGGTGGCGTTGATGGCCTGGGCCGAGTTGAGCCACGGGTAGCGGGCAAGGAGGGTCTGGTACAAGCGGGTGTACATGCCCTTGCCTGGCCCGCCGGCGGAGAAGGCAAAGCCACCGCCGAGGAGCATCTGGAGGACGGCATGGGCGGTGAGCTCGGGCGCAGACCACTCGGGAGCCTTAAAGCCGACCACCACGTTGGAGTGCTGCCACGGCTGGGCGTCGATGTCGGCCACATCGACCCGCTGCCCGCCAACGTACTCTGCCGGGAGCGGGGCAAAGACGGCGTCCGAGCCGGGCGGCGAGGCGGCGGCGACCGAGGCAAACGAGGTGCTGGCAAGGCCAACGAGCTCGTCGTGGCCGATGCCCACGCCCGAGAGCACCATGTTTGGGCCGACAAGGAGCGCGTCGCGGAAGGCCATCACGGTCGCCGGCGAGAGCGCGTCGAGAGTGGGCGCGTCAAAGAGCGAGGGCGCGCCCAGCGGCGAGCCGGCAAAGGCAACCTCCTCGGCGCGGGTCGGCGCGAGGCTGTCGTACTCGACACTGGCGGTTTCGATGTCTAGCGCCATGTACGCCTTGACCGACGCCATGTAGGCGTCGTCGGTGGCCGGCTCGAGGATCGACGCCGCGAGCAGATCGAGGTACTTGGGCACATGGTGCGGGAGGACGTCCATGTGGAGTGCGAGAAAGTCGCGCATGTGCGTGGCCGAGACCGTCACGGCGTCGTCCTCCACCATGCGGACGATGGCCGAGTGGTCGACGCCCTCGGTGGCGCCAAAGGCCAGCCGCTCGAGCATATGGGTCGCGCCGCGCGATGCATCGGTCTCGGCCCGGCGTCCGTGGTTGACATACAGCCCGACCGAGGCCGCAGGCGCGCCCACAGCAGACGCGGCCTGCTGGGTAATGACCCGCAGGCCGTTGCTCAGCGTCGAGAGGTACGTCCCGCGACCGCAGGCCACCCGATCCACTTCGCGCAGCGGAGCGCCCGCGGCCTTGCTCGACAGCAGCGCATCAGCCACCGCTCGCTCGGCAGCACTGCTCCCCACAGGCGTCGCAGCATCGACAGCAGCCTCAGTAGCAACGGTAGACTCGGGCCCGGCCCAGCGCTCCGGGTACACCAGGTGCGGCTTCTCCAGCTCGACCCGATCGAGCGGTTGTTGGCCGTCCGCAGCAGCAGCAGCAGCAGCAGCAGCAGCATCAGCTGCACCAGCACCAGCAGCAGCACCAAGGGCCGCCGCCGAGTGGGTAGAGGCAGAGATGGGCCGGGAGAGGGCCGTGCGGGTCGCCTTGCTTGTCTGCGTAGACGCAGAAAACCGAGGCAAAGTCGAGGAAAACGCCACTTTGAAACTCTGCGCAGACGCAAACGAGCTCCACGCCGCAACCGCTCTCTTTGTCGCGCCTGCTGCGCACCGTGTGCCTGCAAGCATAATCAGCAAGCCTCTATGTGTGGTATATGTATGTAGTGTGTATATGTGGGTTGGCGGTGGCGGTGGCGGTGGTGGTGGTGGTGGTGGTGGTGGTGGTGGTGGTGGTGGTGGTGGTGGGTGAGGTGGTGGTGGCGGGCTGGGGATGGGCGACCGGTCTCAGCTGTTGGTTGTTCCTTCGTTTCGTATCAGCAATCATTGATTAATCGTTGGCTGCCCGTATTTGACGCGTTCGGTCGGGCCTGTGCATCGCCGTGTGTGGTGATGACGATGGGGGTATGGCGATGGTGATCATCGGGATCATGGGGATCATGGTAGTCAATGGTAGGTGTTGATTCGGGGGGGGGGTGGGTGGGACGAAAGTCGATGACTCCGGCGACGTGGCCGCCCATCAGCAGGCGGCGGTGATGATCCGGTCACTGCGCGAGGTCCAGACCGGGAGCCCGGCTCCGCTGCGCCAGGCAGCCAGCGCAAGGCCTACCGACGGATCGACGGTAAAGGTCTCGCCGGCGACGGTGACCGGAAAGCCGCGGATGGCGGCGGGATCGGTGGCGCCGAGGGCGTCAAATGCGTCGAGGATGGCGTCGACAGGCACAATCTTGCCGTCGCCCTTGACCTCGGGGGTGTCAAAGTCCGGGACAGCGCCAGCGGTCGCCGCTGCGAGGAAGACATGCATCTCATCACCGATGCGGCCCTGGTGGGCCTCGCCCTTGGAGTAGCTGTACACCAGTCGCGGCTGGAGGAGCTCCACGTCGAGCTCGACGCCGATCTCCTCGCGGACCTCGCGGACCGCCGCCTCCCACGAGTTCTCGCCGAGATCAACGGCTCCGCCTGGGAAGGTATACCCGCCCCACCACTTGATGAGAAAGGTGTTTCTCAGCTCGGCGTCGAGGACGACCATGTGCCCGCCGCGGATCGAGCTCGCGTAGGCTTGAACCGGACTCGGCCCGTCACCGTACCACTTGACGAGCACCCGTAGGCTCTCTGCACTCGCCTCCACCGGGACTCTGACCTCACTTTCAGCCTCGCCGCGCCCCTTTCGCACCGCTCTCGCCACGCCGTCATCATCACGCCCACTCGAGGCGAGCTCGGCCACATCGGCGATGAGTGCGTAGTCGGTAAAGCCGACAGCCTTGAGCGCAGCGAGGAGAACCGGTGAGGCAGCAGCATCAGCCAGGCCAACAAAGCAAGCTGCTCTGCCGACCACCTCCTCCAGCCATGGCAAAACTTGATCAATCTCTTCCGTCGTCAAAACCTCGTTGATCCGAAGGTACAGTCCGTTGTATGCTCCGCGGCCGGCCACAACTCGCCCGCTTGGCATCCGAGGAAACTTTGCCGACCAACTGTGCTTCGGCAGCTCGTACTCCTCCACCACGCCACACTCTGCGCTTGCAGACATGATGCGAATAGGCTCTTGGTCTTGCCAGAGTCAAGTGTATCGTTCTGCTCGCTCTTCTGCTCAAGTGTCACACCCGCGTCGAGTCCGCCTTCCCGCACCCGACGTTACACTCGATGTGGTGTGCAATTTTTGTCACGGAAACGTCACGGTGATGTGATGGGAAGGTCGACCGATGACGCGAGAGGGGGCCGAGGGGAGGAGGGTAGCGATGCGATGAGGGTTCGAGGCAAGCCGTAGTTGTAGCCGCGCCGGCATCTGTGTCGCCGTCCAGCACGCGTCGGTCGGCGCTCGTCACCGGGGGAGGGCCAAGGGAAAGGCGCAAGCGCTAGCAGCCGACCTTTTCGATCCAATTACCTGCTCACATTCAACATCGCCGATGTGTGGTTTACGGGGATGTCCAGCTCTGCGTCTTCTTTGCTTGCTTGGCCTGCCACTATCGATTGCGCGGCTTGCGCGGCGTGGACGACGCCGCTGCCGCTGCCGAGGACGAGGACGACGGGGCGCGGCTCGATGCGGGCAGAGGCAGAGAGTGGCACTTGCGAGAGGAAGTAAAGCCATGATCTCATGCCCGTGTGCCTGGGCAGCGGCGATGCCACCGTCGTTATCCATTGCTTTGAACTTGGGATGAGAAACGAGGGCGCGGACGACGGCGATGTGGTCGCCCTTGTCGGCAGCAAGCAGCGGTGGAGTGGTAGTAGCCCTCTTGGGACGACGTGGACGGATGAAATCCAGTATCCTTGAGGTGCAGACGAATCAGCGGTTGTGGAGATCGGTGAGAAAATGTGGCGGGGTAGTTGACCGCTCAGCCAAGGCCAAGCTGCCTGTCGGAGAGGTGGTGTGAACCGCCGGCGCACCGGTACCGCCGGGAATCTCGTTCCAGCGGAAGCCGGCGCAGCAGACGCCGGCCTGCATCTGCGCGAGCGCCTCACGCTGTGCTGCCTCTAGCGCGCGTCGACGCTCGGCAGCGATGGCCTCCCACCGCGCCCGCTCGGCCGCTGCATCTCCTCTTACTGCGCCGGATGCTCGACGTCAGCCACCGATGCGTCGTCCGCCATGCGTGCGAGTGAACCAACGCAAAACGCACTCACTACCAGCGCGTGGGTCACATCGTTCCATCGTGGGCGGGCATCACTTCAGTCTGCATGACGGTTGTGAGACAGTTTGTCACGTACGTGTTGCCGGCAGCGAGGCGAAGAGCTGCGGTGAGCGCACGGTGGGTGATGCGACCGTCGGCCACCAACGCGGCCACAACGCCAGCGTGCCCGTGCAACGCAGCTATGCGGAGCGGCTCGCAGCGCCCGACCATCGGGTCAACGCGCGGATGAGTAAGGAGCAGCTCCACCACGAGCGCAGAGCCGCGTGCAGCGGCCCGACGCAGCGCCGCCTGACGTTTGGCGGCAGGATCGACGCCCGGCGTCGCGAGGAGGACTCGCAAAGCGGGCAGACGAACCCGGATCGCCGCCTCGCGGATCGCGTAGTTGTCGGCGACAGCCACGTCCACGCGCTGGTCGCCGACAAGCACGGTCAGCGCGCGCGTCATCCCCAGTGAAGCACACTCGCGCAGCGGGTACTGGTTGGAGAACGTCGGATCGACCCGCGGGTCGGCTAGGAGCGCAAGGAGTGTGTCTTCGCGCGAAGGATGCAGCGCTCGACGGACTGCTGCGTGGTTGCCGTACGCGGGATCGACCCGCGGGTCGGTCAGAAGCACCGTGACCACACCGGTGTGGCCGCATGCAGCCGCACGTAGCAGCGCGTCTTGCCTCTGCGCGCTCGGGTCCACGCGCGCGTCAGCCATGAGTACGGCCACCACATGGTCGTGCCCGCACGCCGCCGCCTCGCGCACCGCCATGTTCCTCAACGCTCCCGGATCGACGTCCGGGCACGCCAGCAGCCGCTCCACAATGGCCAAACTTCCCACAGCAGATGCGCCGTAGAGCGCCGCTGGCCCGCACTCGCTCAAGCTCAAGGCGGGATGGTCCAAGAGGTCGAGCGCGAGCTGCTCCATGCCGCGGTTGCAGACTGCAGCAACACACTTTGAGAGCAGACCGGCATCCACACGCTCGTCGGCGAGCACGAGACGAATCAGCATCTCCGAGCCGTGCTCTGACGCCACCACCACGGCCGCACCGTCGTCTGCGGCCGGGTCCACACGCGGGTCTGCCAGCATCGTGCGCACCAAGTCCGGATCGTTGCTAGAGCACGCGATCGAGAACACACCCGGGCTCACCGTCGCTGACGGCTGCGCCAACAGCTGCGTCATGAGTGAAGTGCGTCCCATAGTCGCTGACGGCTGCGCCAACAGCTGCGTCATGAGTGAAGTGCGTCCCATACGCGCGGCCACAGAGAAGACCCTTTCGCCAATGTCTGCCCCATCGATCTCTGGGTCGTCCAGCACCACCTCTACAACCCGGTCCATCTTCGTCAGCACGGCGTAGAAGAGGATGTCGTCGAGGCGCGTGCTCGGCGATACGCGCGGGTCGGCAAGGAGCATGAGCGCAACACCTTCGTTTCCACGCCGGACGGCGTAGTAGAGCGCGTGGTTCTCGGCAGCGCTGGGATCTACACGGGTGTCGCCGAGGAGCGCTTCTACCACAGCGTCGTGGCCCCGCTCCGCTGCCGACTTCACTGCCGCATTGTCACCGTGTCCCGGGTGGGCTCGTCCGTCAGCCAAGAGATCGAGCACCACGCTCACCTGTCCGCACGATGCCGCTTCGAGGAGGACCATGGTGGCGCCAACTACAGCGTCCACCCGAGCGTCCGCCAAGAGTACGTGGAGTAGGGAAAGATGCCCGGCCTTTGCAGCCGTGCGGAGTGCGCGGTGGCCGTGGGCGGTGGGATCGACGCGCGAGTCGGCCAGGAGCAGCTGGACAATGACCTCGTTGTTTGAGCAGATGGCAGAGGTGAGCGCCGCATGCTCGTGCGCCATGGGATCGGCTCGCCCGTCAGCAAGCAGCGCAGCCACAACGTCGCTATAGCCACCTTCGGCCGCCAAAACAGCAAGTTCCCGGAAGCAGGATCTGCACGTCCGTCAGACAGCAAGCGCTCCACTACAGCGAGCAGGTTGTGCCGAGCAGCAGGGCGGAGAACAGCCGACGCCGCCTTCTCCGACACAAACCGCACGTCACTCACGACCCGCAGCACGAGATCTGCCCGCTTCCTGATGGCGGCGGCCAGCGCGACCCTCCCCATGATGCCGCCCTCACCCCAAGCCGCCTCATCAGCAGCCACAGCTTCAAACAGTGGCTCCAGCTCATCCACAGCATGCGGCTCACTCGTCTTTGCGGCCTCGAGCAGACCACCAGCCAGCGCTTCGGCATCCATCCGAGGCACCAGCCGCGCCACCAGCTCAAAGTCACCCATCCGCACCGCCACATCCATACACGAGCCCCTTGCGATCCTCCTCCCTCCCCGACCAAACGCAACCGCCGTCTTCCATCCGACCGCCGCCAGTGCCACCACCAGCGCCCGCCACTCTTCATCACCAGCGCCGTGTGCCAGAGCCAGCCCGCCAGCCCCGCACCCCGTCTCGGCATTCTCCGCCACCAGCCCCACGTCATCCTTGCGGAACGCCACCAGTGCCCCTCTCCACAACCCCTTGCGCACACACGTGTGGAAGCCAAGCGTCGCCTGTGCCAGCGCCAGGGCATAGGGCGTGCCCTCTCGTCCTCCCCCTCCTCCCCCTCCGCCCACTCACGGGAGGCCGAGCACCATGCTGCGCAGCACCTTGCACGTCGACCCGAGGTCCACAATGTCGGGTGTGGAGAGGACAGAGAGTGTGTAAGTGAGGTGATGGAGGAGCTCGGCAGGGAGCGTGTCCAACATGGCCCACAGTGGCCGACAAGTGCACAAGTAGGCGGTGAGACAGGTGTGACAGGTGGTGGAGGAATGAAGGTGTCGGCCCACCTTTAGCCGTTGCACCCGATCGCCCGTACGAACCGTTATAGCCACCGATCCCTACCAAACTCCGCGCTCTTGTAGTATCCAATACCACATGCCCATAGGGAGCGTGGCAGTAGCCAAAGTGGCGGTATGCCTGTGGTGGGGGGGGTCAAAGGTCGGGCTGAAATGCTTCCCGAGCCTCCTACTCCCGCACCCCGTCGCCTACAACGCCCAAACTCCACACACACACACTGGTTACATGTCCATCATAGTGGTGAGGGGGGGGGGGGGGGGGGGGGGGGGGGCAGGATCGTGGCCCGCTACGTAGTCGCCCCCTCCGTCCGTGGGCGTCGACCCGAGGACGCTGGCCAGCGGAGCCGGGAGCCGCAGCGGCGAGCCGTGGATGCGCCGGGACAACCCGTTCACCATCTCCTCGCTCGCCATCTGCTGCGCCGTCTGCGGCAGCGCCAGCCTTGAGCCGGCGTCCGAGAAGTTGGTGAACAGCTGGAACATCGACTTGAAGATGGACACGTCAGCCCAGTAGACCTGCGGGATGAGCTCGTGGACGAGCGCGACCGCGTTTTTGGACGCCACCATCACGTTGGCGTCGGTAAAGTCCAGCGGCGCCAGCAGGTTGGCGCGGTTGAGTTTTCTGTCGGTCTGGACCTCGATCGCCGCGACGAGGACGGCCACCACGTGCTTGCAAGCGTGCATGCGGTAGTGAAAGCCGGTGCAGCTGCAGAGGAACCGGCTCGCGCCGGCGCCGAGAACGACGACGTACGTGTGCGACGAGCCGTGGCGCGTGACCTCGTACTTGTGCGGCTCGGACGTCTGTGACGTCGTGTACGCCTTGGCGTCCTCCGGGTACGTCGCCATGGCGTTGATAAGCGAGTGGAAGAGCGACTCGATGCAGTCGCACAGGCAGAAAGCGACGACGATCGGGTGCCGCGCAAGCGTCATGCTCGCCGGCGCCGCCGACCGCGTGCCGTGGCCCGCGCGCGTGCCGGTGATCCGGCGGCCATAGAGCCTTCTTGATTGCGTGGTACCCATTGGTGATGGGTCTGAGCTGGTGATGGAGGTGGAGGATGTCGAGCGGCTTGCGGATGCGCTCATCGAGGCGGCTGGCGATGGACACCGCCATGGTTCGTGGACGTCGGACGATCGCATGGCTTTGCGTGGGACACTGCACCGCATCTCTCGCTCGTGCATTGATGGATGGGCGACAACTCTGACGCTGCGTGTTGGGCGCCGCTTTGCTGGCGCCGCGCGGTTGCTTGGCGAGGACTTGGACAGGGTGGTGGCGGCCACCGGTGGTGAGTCGCACTCGATTCTCCTCGTCGGCCGGCCAGGCGCTGGCAAGACAACGCTCCTGCGCGACATAGCGTTGAGGCTTGGCAAAGAGCTCGGGCCCAGCGTCGCCGTGGTCGACACATCGGGCGAGATCGGTGGCTTTGGCCTCAAGCCGCACCCTGTCCTCGGGCTTCCCTAGCGATTCTTCGTCCCGGAGAGAGTCCTGTGGGAGGTGTGGTAGCAGCTATCGCTGCCAGTCGGCCGGATATCGTCAGGGGTTTGCCGGTGGCGGTGGGACGCACATGCGGGAGTGAGGGAAAAAGCGATTGTTATCGTTTGGCAGGAGCGATCACCGAGAGAGTGAGAGAGAGCGGTGACATGGGCTGGGGCTTCATGTCGAGCTAGCAATTCAACGTCGTGTTCTCGCTGTCGCCGCCGCCGGGAGACGTCTCGACAAGCCCTCGCGGCGCATCGCCACTCGCGCCGTAGGACTAGCGGCGTGCTTGGAAGTTGGCGACGGCCTCGTCAAAGTGCTGGATGAGCTTGACGCGGTCGTCGCGGAGAGCCCGGATGTCACCCTCGGCGACGGTCAGCTTGTCCTGCATCAGAGCCAGCTCGTCTCTGGTCGCAGACAGCTCAGCTTCCAGCTCGTCAACGCGTGATCGAGGCCGGTTGCCAGATGCGGCGGGCCGATCAACGACACCACCCGCGGCGATGGCCTCTTGGACAAAATCGTCGACGGCTGCGGGGACAGGGATGGTTCCCGTGACAAGGTTGTAGACCTCCCGACTCTTCGGCTCGGCGAGTTCGATCGCTGCGGTGGAGAGCGGGGGAACACCGATGTGATTCGGTGCCCACACATCGGCGCCGGCTGCAAGCAGTGCCATGGTGGCCAAGACGTTGGACAAGAGCACAGCGATGTGGAGCGGGCGGAGACCAGCGATGGGCTCGAGGGCATTGATGTCGGCGCCGGAGTGAATGAGGAAGGCAAAGACAGGGATGGAGTACGGGACGGTCGGTGAGGCGCGGAGGACGACAAAGAGGGCGAGAGTGGCCTTGTTGATGCCGTTGGTGAGCTCGGTGGCGCCGTCGCCATGCTCGCGGATCCAGGCGACCATCGCAGATGAGAACGCTGCAGATCGCTCCGCGGGAGCAGCTACGTACACGTGCGTGTTGTCCGGCTGCAGCATGAAGGGATCGAGACCAACTCCGCCCAGCTCGGCCATACGCTCAGCTGTCAGCTGGTTCGCGGCGATAATGGTGTCGAGCACAGTGGCGCCGTTTCCGTCGACGGCAGATTGGTCGAGGAAGATGTCGAGGGCGGCGACTGCCTCGAGGAGAGCCTTGAGGGCACCGTGCTCCGTGTTGGCAGCCGCGACATGAATGACGGGCGTATTGAACGTGGGTTCAACAGCGTTGACGTCTGCACCAGCGGTGACGAGCTCGGAGACGATGTCGGCTGAGATCGGAACGGTCGGTGAGGCGCGGAGGACGACAAAGAGGGCGACGGTGGCCTTGTTGATGCCGTTGGCGAGCTTGGTGGCGCCGTCTGCGTTGGCCCGCAGCGACTCGATCATGAGGCCGACAAAGACCGGCGCAGAGGATGCGGGCGAGTGCACGTACGCGTGCTTGTTGTCATCATCGAGATCGTAGAGGTCTGCGCCGTTGGCAAGCAGCGTGTTGAGCGCGCTGAGGGAGAGGAGGTTGCAGCGGTCTATGGCATGCACCGGATGGGGCTGGGCCTGAGCAACGTCAAGCAGAGCACGGGCGTGCTGCGATGCAAGGAAGTCTGGTTGGACGATGGCAGTGCGCGCGCGACGCAAGTCGAGGGTAACCTTGGAGCAGTAGTCCAAGATGAGGGTTGTGAGGTTGGGGCAGCCACCGGCGAGGGCGACCACTGCCGCATCAGTGATGTTGGAGCAGGAGGACAACTTGAGGCTTGTGAGGTTGGGGCAGCCACCGGCGAGGGCGACCACTGCCGCATCAGTGATGTTGGAGCAGTTGTTCAAGTAGAGGCTTGTGAGGTTGGGGCAGCCACCGGCGAGGGCGATCACTGCCGCATCAGTGATGTTGGAGCAGTTGTTCAAGTAGAGGCTTGTGAGGTTGGGGCAGCCACCGGCGAGGGCGATCACTGCCGCATCGGTGATGTCGGAGCAGTTGTTCAAGTCGAGGGTTGTGAGGTTGGGGCAGCCACCGGCGAGGGCGATCACTGCCGCATCGGTGATGTCGGAGCAGGAGGACAACTTGAGGCTTGTGAGGTTGGGGCAGCCATCGGCGAGGGCAACCACTGCCGCATCGGTGATGTTGGAGCAGTTTTCCAAGTAGAGGCTTGTGAGGTTGGGGCAGCCATCGGCGAGGGCAACCACTGCCGCATCGGTGATGTTGGAGCAGTTGTTCAAGTCGAGGGTTGTGAGGTTGGGGCAGCCACCGGTGAGGGCAACCACTGCCGCATCGGTGATGTTGGAGCAGGAGGACAAGTAGAGGGTTGTGAGGTTGGGGCAGCCACCGGCGAGGGCGATCACTGCCGCATCGGTGATGTCGGAGCAGGAGGACAACTTGAGGCTTGTGAGGTTGGGGCAGCCACCGGCGAGGGCGATCACTGCCGCATCGGTGATGTTGGAGCAGTTGTTCAAGTCGAGGGTTGTGAGGTTGGGGCAGCCACCGGTGAGGGCGATCACTGCCGCATCGGTGATGTTGGAGCAGGAGGACAAGTAGAGGGTTGTGAGGTTGGGGCAGCCACCGGCGAGGGCGATCACTGCCGCATCGGTGATGTCGGAGCAGGAGGACAACTTGAGGCTTGTGAGGTTGGGGCAGCCACCGGCGAGGGCAACCACTGCCGCATCGGTGATGTTGGAGCAGTTGTTCAAGTCGAGGGTTGTGAGGTTGGGGCAGCCACCGGCGAGGGCGACCACTGCCGCATCGGTGATGTCGGAGCAGTTGTTCAAGTCGAGGGTTGTGAGGTTGGGGCAGCCATCGGCGAGGGCGACCACTGCTGCATCGGTGATGTCGGAGCAGTTTTCCAAGTAGAGGCTTGTGAGGTTGGGGCAACCACCGGTGAGGGCGATCACTGCCGCATCGGTGATGTTGGAGCAGGAGGACAAGTAGAGGGTTGTGAGGTTGGGGCAGCCACCGGCGAGGGCGATCACTGCCGCATCAGTGATGTCGGAGCAGTTGTTCAAGTCGAGGGTTGTGAGGTTGGGGCAGCCACCGGCGAGGGCGATCACTGCCGCATCGGTGATGTCGGAGCAGTTTTCCAAGTAGAGGCTTGTGAGGTTGGGGCAGCCACCGGCGAGGGCGATCACTGCCGCATCGGTGATGTCGGAGCAGGAGGACAACTTGAGGCTTGTGAGGTTGGGGCAGCCATCGGCGAGGGCAACCACTGCCGCATCGGTGATGTTGGAGCAGTGTCAAGTAGAGGCGTTGTGAGGTTGGGCAGCCATCGGCGAGGGGCAACCACTGCCGCATCAGTGATGTTGGAGCAGTTGTTTCAAGTAGAGGGTTGTGAGGTTGGGGCAGCCATCGGCGAGGGCGACCACTGCCGCATCGGTGATGTTGGAGCAGGAGGACAAGTAGAGGGTTGTGAGGTTGGGGCAGCCATCGGCGAGGGCGATCACTGCCGCATCGGTGATGTTGGAGCAGTTGTACAAGTTGAGGGTTGTGAGGTTGGGGCAGCCACCGGCGAGGGCGATCACTGCCGCATCGGTGATGTTGGAGCAGGAGGACAAGTAGAGGGTTGTGAGGTTGGGGCAGCCACCGGCGAGGGCGACCACTGCCGCATCAGTGATGTTGGAGCAGTAGCTCAAGTAGAGGGTTGTGAGGTTGGGGCAGCCACCGGCGAGGGCGACCACTGCCGCATCGGTGATGTTGGAGCAGGAGGACAAGTAGAGGGTTGTGAGGTTGGGGCAGCCACCGGCGAGGGCGACCACTGCCGCATCAGTGATGTCGGAGCAGTTGTTCAAGTCGAGGGTTGTGAGGTTGGGGCAGCCACCGGCGAGGGCGATCACTGCCGCATCGGTGATGTCGGAGCAGTTTTCCAAGTAGAGGCTTGTGAGGTTGGGGCAGCCACCGGCGAGGGCGACCACTGCCGCATCGGTGATGTCGGAGCAGTTTTCCAAGTAGAGGCTTGTGAGGTTGGGGCAGCCACCGGCGAGGGCGATCACTGCCGCATCGGTGATGTTGGAGCAGTTGTTCAAGTCGAGGGTTGTGAGGTTGGGGCACAT